ATGATTCCATGAAAACCTGACACATAAATCCCTGATTACAGGATTATGATATCAACAGAGGGGGCGAAGCCCCCCCCAAAAAACTATATCTAGTTGTGTTAATATTAATTAGTCCCCCCGATTCTTGACTGATTTGACGCGTGTCTAGTCCAAATTTGTTAAACAAAGGTTTAAGCCATAAATAATTTCAGAGTTTGAGATGTTAATTTTTTGTAATAAAACCATTTAGAGTTTGAGCTAATATGTGTATACGTACGTATTATCGATGACTTTGAAGATCTTGTTATAAAATTATTGTACTGCATTGTATTTAATAATACTGGTCAGAAGAGTTTATATTTGCCAATCCATACATGAAAGTAGAATGATAAACATGAGAATTATTTTATTCTTATTTTGACGTACAGCTAGAGTTTTAAAATAACATTTTACGTAAATGAACAAGTATCTCCAATATGTAACAATTTAAGCACTGGTTAACCATCCATTGCTTGAGCATTTCACTAGCTTTTCTCTCACGCTCAATGCAGACGTATCACCTGGTTCAATTTCCAATGATTTGTTGAAATCAATCAATGCATTATCATATTATCTAAGATTGAAATAGACATGACCCCGTATTCCCAACGCACGCGCATTACGTGGCTTTATCGCTAGTGATTTATTGAGATCATAACGAGTTGTCATATTGTTTTAGATCGAGATAAACGTTTCCCTCACGGTCAATGTGTCAACAACATCAGGATCGATTTATTCAAATCGGCCAATGCATCATCATACTGTTTGAGCATTAGATATGTCTCACCCCTAATTTTCAATGCAGATTTATTACTGCAACGATTTGTCGATGTCATTTAATGAATTATCGTATTGCCCGAGATTACAATAGATTTGTCCACGTACGTTCAATGCATAAGCATCATTCGGCTCAATTTCTAGTGCGTTGTTGACATCGCATAACGCCCGATCATACTGTTTGAGATCATTATAGAGGTTTCCTCTTGCAGTCAATGCAAATACGTAATTTCGTTCGACTTCTAATGCTTTGTTAACATCTTTCAAAGCATCGTCATATTGTTCAAGAAAACCATAAGTAAGACCTCTCACACTCAATGCCCATGTATCATTTGGTTCGATTTCCAACGATTTGTTAAGGTCATTCAATGAATTATCATACTGATTTAGACATCGATAGACATCTCCTCTGACAGACAACGTAATCGCATTATTCGGTTCGATCTCCAACGATTTGTTAAGATCATTCAGTGAATTGCCGTATTGTTTTAGATATCGATAGACATCTCCTCTGACAGACAACGTAATCGCATTATTCGGTTCGATCTCCAACGATTTGTTAAGGTCATTCAATGAATTACCATACTGATTTAGACATCGATAGACATCTCCTCTGACAGACAACGTAATCGCATTATTCGGTTCGATCTTCAACGATTTGTTAAGATCATTCAGTGAATTGCGGTATTGTTTTAGATATCGATAGATATCTCCCCGTTGCCTCAATGCCCATGCATCGTTTGGTTTTATTTCCAATAATTTGTTAAGATCATTCAGTGAATTGCCATATTGTTCTAGACAGCGATAGACATGTCCTCGTTTCCTCAATGTCCATGCATTAGTTGGTTCAATCTCCAATGACTTGTTAATATCGTTTATTTCATCGCAATACTTCAATCTCTCCTGAATGGTTTCACAAGATGGCCGCTTATTTACGTCTTCGTTCCAACATTCTGAATACAGATTAACATATTCGTCGGGTGTCCCAGGAAAAGGGGGATCACGAGAGCCATTAAGCCTATACATAATAATACCAACAGTTTCAGTACACCCGTCGCAAGGGGTTTCTCCGCTCGATATTTCCCAAAGTATGACTCCAAGGCTAAACACATCAGATTTCTTTCCACGGTGATATGAAGCATTCCTCAAAGATAACGGATCTTTATATGCCGGTGCGCCTTCGTCACGCGATTTAGACATTGCTTGTTTCAACACGTTTGATAAACCAAAGTCGGTTATTTTTGCGACACCTGATTTGATAAGAATATTACTGGAAGACTAGATTAAACGGGAGCCGATCAGTTTATGTACTAGTGTGAGATGACACAAATAACATTTGCGATAACATACCAAGTCTTTGTGAATAATATCAAGGTTATGCAGATGTTTCAGTCCGTTGGTAATCTCTAATCCAAGCTTGTATTTGTCTTTCCAGGTTAGCTCCTTGAAGTGCCTTTTCAAGTGTTCACATAGATTTCCACCGTCAGCCAGTTCGAAAATCATATGATAGTTGTAATATTTGTCTGTACGCAATAAACACAAGATTGTTATTTGTGCTTACATTATGCTATTCTGTTTTTGAAAGACAGGTTGTAGTGAGCATACCTTTTTATAAACCCAAAAAACTAATAATATTAGGATGGTCATTCGCCTTCTTGTGGTTCCTTAACTAATATCGATGCGAAAAGTCAATATATACGAAATATGAATTGTGCTGGGCTGCATAACAAAAGATAATATTAACCTCTTTAACCAATTGCTGGTGTAAATCTCCTTCAGAATCCCCATGTTTATTCGGAAATAATACCTTTACCGCAACGGTCTTGCCAGAGTAAATGTTCTGCTTTCTGCCAAAGATAATCGTAACAATATCGTAATTCTGCTTTATCGTTGCCTTATACACTGCTCCAAATCCGCCAAGACCAATATGTAAAGGATCAAGTTTATGTCATTTTCTGGACAGCAATAGATGGAACCTTCTTGAATCCTTGCCTCTAACCATTCCTTGTATGAATTGTCGGATACCCGAGACATTGTTAACATTAAGCAAGCAAGATTGCGTAATCTCCATATCTCTGATCTGCAAAGGTAGTGATACAACAGGTGTACGAATTGATCTGTATTGACACATAAAAAATCAGCTGACTGGAGTTTCTTCGTAGGAATGAATTAAACAGATTCAAATTCTTTTTTTCATTCTCGTTCCCTATATTTGAAACTGGGCATTCAAGAGATAAATTAAAGCATTCTTGTCCCTGTGAAGCAGTGACGGCAGAAAATATTGCCGAAGTTGATTATTTTATAAAACTGACCCTTATTTTATTACCATAAATTATAAACCTTCCCCCGAACAATCAGCAAATTTTATAGCTTTGCCAAGGTGGCTGTGTTGACGAGGCGTAGCCACTCCAAAGTGAAATGCGGCTGGTCTATAAACTCGAAATATGGACAAAGTCTGTCCAGTTGCTATGCATTTAATCAGAAATTATGACTAAATATCACCAAAAGCAACAAGTAACACTCCTTCCCAGTCTTCCACATAGTCCAAATCGTTTCTTGTAACTTTTTCAAATTATAAAAGAACTGATATAAATAGTGGTGAGGATCTAGCAAGTGGCTGTTCAGCCGGCATCCCGAAGGCTAATCGTGAGAAGTCCTAGAATTGTAGTTGGCAGAATTGTGCACAGATGCTAATGGAAAAATTCGATTTGTGATTATCAAAATAGAGATTAATGACAATACTTTATAGTCCTCCCATATTTCAAAAACCAGTTAAATAAACAAGCGGTGATTGTTTAAATTTTTCAAATTTTTTTTTCAAAAACGATATTTTTAGCTTATTCAGACGCCCTTCAAATTACATATTATTATTTCTTTAGATGGTTTTTTATATTTTACTAGATAAAAATATATCGGGAGGGGGTTTGCTACTTGCTGATGTTAGAACGTCGATACTGAGCGACTGTTATTTATTATTGTGTAGTAATGTTCATACAAAAATATATTTATTAATTACTGGTTGATACATAGAATTTGAAATAAATGGCAAGTTTAGAAATTCACCTTGCATTTAAGCAATATTTTGTTCAAACCTCAATTACATGTACATTAGTCGAGTCGATTGGACAAAATGTTTTCCACTTATCTCGATTATTAGAGAAGCGTTCTAGTATAAAGACAAACTTCGGTTTTTTTAAGGTGTCTGCAAATTTTATAAGACGTATAACAGTACAAATAAAAAAAAACGCGGGTATATAAAAAAAACTGTATATAATCTAGAAAAAATTGTACTGTACAAAACCTGTACTTATTTTATATCAACATTACGCTGAAGCGTATTAAATGGTAAGGGTACAACGTAAGAAAATGTTATTGGCCAATAATTTAAATTTGGGACATCGAGTAAACAATAAATTACGTTGTTACAAAAAAAGGTAAAAACATGTTATTATCTCAGGTTAATTTTCTACGTAATTTTCTTGTTTTGTATACTTAACAAGTTAGAGATAGTGAGCTAAACAGTTTAATATATTATCTAGAAAAATGTGAGCAATACTATTTTGATTGGACATATATATATATAAGTGTAGACAACGGCGGCGTAGTTGAATAAAATCTATTATTTTAAGGAACGCTTTTTGTCACGTAGACAAAATAATACCGCAAAAACTTGACTGGTTAGACTCATACAGTGAGTTAGTCCCTTATATTATATGATAGCAGTTAAAAAAATTAAGCAGATTAGTTATGGTCTTCTTTCTCGATGTTATATTGCAAATGACTGATAAGCGGTTAAATATAAATTACGTTTACAGTTTATTATAAACAAAACTGACTGCTGTTGTAAGCTGCGCAACTAATTGTTGAATTGGGTGAAAATAGTCTTTTTGTTTTATCCCATTTGACCGACATTTCACAAAAAAATTTTGCACCAGTAGAACAACTTAAATTTGTAGTAGATAAGAAAAAGAATAAACTTTTAATATACATTAGGGCAAGCGTAAAGCATTAAACAATATTAATTTTGTTGTATGTCAGATCGGAATTTATGTCAATTCGGAATGGACATATGTTAGTTCCGAATAGACATACAGTGGGTGACCAAAAGTCTCCGACCACCCCTTAAAATTTTCGTTGATCATGCATAACTCCGTAACGAAACA